GCTCACACTCAGGTGTGTGTGTGTGTGTGTGTGTGTGTGTGTGTGTGTGTGTGTGTTACACATTTTAGACAGTGCTTTGTGTAGACGCCAAATTTGATAAGTGTTTACCGTCAGAAAAAGGAAATGAAATGTGTTTATCTTGGGGTGTGGGCTGAGTTGGGGGTAGGATAAGTCAAGGTGTCATAGGCTCTTTGTATGTGTGTTTGTGTGTGAAGAGGAGGATCTGGTCAGGGTCCGATTAGGCCGGTCACATGCTCTGTGGGTGCAAATATGTACTCGAGCACACTCTGGTGTGTGTGCATTCCACCCTCATAGAAATAAAGGCCTCATTCAGCCAGGGACAATGACATACACACAACGCTCATGTACACTGGACACATACATGCTGCAGATAGAGACAATGGAAAGACAATGAGCATAGGTTGAACACAGTCATACAGTGGTGCTGTCCCTGGGTGCTCCCTCTGCACTTTCTCTCTGGCCCTGGGTGTTTCCGCACAATGCGCTGCTGGAGAGGCCTTCTGACCTACAAACAGACCCAGCCAGCTAGGTGAGTTAATCTGTGCATGTGCAGCAGTATTTCCTGCACAAGATGTGGTCACTGAGGTTACTTCTAAATGCATATCAGGAAGTTTTAGTGCCGCAGACTGAAAAATGCTACTGTATTTCAGGGCTTTCCTTGGAAGAAAGGAACAGCGGCATTACGCTTTCATACTCTACTATGGTCCCGTCAATTCACCTAAAAAACAGGGTACTGGATGTTCTCATGTAGTTTTAGCAAACAAAAACAAAATGTTTTGAATTTATAGCGTCACCATACGCAGGAATCTTCTTTCTATTTATGTGCTTTTCTGTGGGCAATTTTCCAGCTGTGGTGGCCCATCACAGTTAAGTGAATGAAATGAAGCAAACACTACAAACATGTGTGCAAGCAAGCATGCACAATAAAGAGTCCGTGTACAATGGTGCATTTGTGTATGTGAATGTGCACATGTGCTGTGTTGTTAATCTTTGCCAGCTGTACGTGGCAGTCCCCCTGACCTCTGACCTCTGTGTTGGAGCCAACGCGGGCTGCTGACTGAAGGACAGGGGGGCCTGCAGGTCTCTCGGAGCTGGGACCTCTTAGCATGATTACGCTCATTAAGCCAGCACTCTGCAATGACTGATTGGCAACAGGCTTCATTTCCCGCTATTCTCCTTTGTGGATCAGTACAAGTTTATGAGAGCGAGGCGGCGGTGCAGGGAATCAGGAGTACAGGTTTACTTATTCGTCCCACCAAATGATCCCTCATGATCAAAATGCAGCTGAGGGTTAAAGTTTGTGTACTTCCTTTCAATCATTACTCGCACCAAAGATGTCACATAGCACTGACGAATATCAAAGCCCAAGGTGAGTGATTGATGATTCGAAAAAAGCTGAAATCACAGAGGATCTGACACGTTCTCTTTTTACACATTGGATTCACACTAACAAGACAGAACAAAAAACTTTAAAAAAACAAAAAAACAAAACAAGAAATGACAGTCAATCCTTTTTGAACGTCAAGCATGTCCACACGCACACACACACGCACACACTTGCACATAAACACGCACAGTGTGAGCGTAATCCTCTCAACAGGAGTGGGAATTTCACAGCGGCCGTGGGAGCGGGAGACCAGGATGACGCATGGGCCGAGGCTGTGTCCCCTCAACGGAAAGCCAACACATACGCACACGTCCACACACACAATGCAGCAGTCCTGATTAAGGGAATTTCCACCATGTGCACGGCAGACAGGAAAGAATAAGATCACCGAGGTAAAAATAATAATTACAAAGGCTAAGTGATAAAAAGAACACTTCAAAACAGACGTGCCCTTTCAAGTACGTGAACATATGTGTGTATGCTAATTGCCACATGATGCCTGTGGTCTCTCCATTATTAGCAGACTCCAGGTTTTCTCCATATGAAGGGCACAAGGTGGCCTGCTCTCCAACAGTTTGCTCCATATGGGGACTGTTACCATACATGTGTGCTTGTGCCTCCTTTATAACTTCATTAATCTTTAGTGCCATTAATCCTCTTGCCACATTACTATTGATGTGAGTCTTGAGACGCTTCATTTCCAGCGTCTCTTGCAGTGAAGGACTGACGGCAGCTCTGGTGTCAAATCAGGTGACAACATGGACGTGTGTGTGTGCATGTGTGTGTTGTTTTCTTGATTGTCCCGCTCACTCTAAGCCTGATGCGAGGCTGCTTTATTTATAGGCACAGAGGGAGACAACCTGGCCGTAGGAGGGTGGGTGAGGACACAAGAGTGCCAGAGGGGAAACTCCTGTGTACAAAAGTTGCTGATAATCAGCCTGTGAGGCCAGTCCATCAGAGGGCACTAAGACCCGCTATATATAAGCACTTACTGCAGCCTAAGCTCCAAATCTGTTACAGCTCTAGAGGATGGACAAGCTATTAATACACAGCCTGACCACAAATATCCCCATCCATATTCTTTTTCTCTTTAATTCAGGAACTCTAAATCCGGATCCCAAGTCTGGGTGTGTTTGTGTATTACATGCATGAACACATTAGTAGTGCATGTTAATTTCCTCTGTCCCCATAGGATCCCATCTGTAACAGGCGTTATCTTAATCTCACCAGTGTAAATGAGTGTACATAAGCCATTCCACTCTAAATTAAGCAATTCAATGCATTTCTCTGCTTTAATGGCATATGTGGCTTTCTTTAAAGTGCTTAGCATAATCTTGGCCATGTTTGGCTATAAAGAATAAGCCAGGGACATAGGTCACAGTGAATGAGATGCTTACTTAAACTGGTACCAAGAGTTCCCCAGGGATATGTAATGTCTGTAATACTGAACTCTCATGTGCTGAGAGGTCATTGTGTTATAGCGCATATATCCGAAAATTGATTACATGTTTCTTATTTTCATAATCGAACAATATTGCGACCTATGTCTCATTATGAAAGCCCAAAGCACAAACAACCTAAAGGTCACCAAAGCAGATCTACCCACAGAAAAACTGAACCACATATTGGATACAAAGTTTAAAATAAGACCCAATGTTAGTCTATTCACATGATTTTAATCTTTCAGATTATGGCTGTGATGGTGAATTGTCATGTAAATCGTATTTTCATGTGGTATTTATACTTGAACTTAGGGCTTAAGCTAGGGTCACAACCAAACTTGGCCCAAATTACTGGCGTAACACCCTAATGGGCTTGGCTGAGCTGGATGGGCTACGGATAAAACTTTAACCAAAAGGTGTAAAGGTGCAACCAGCTAAATGGGTCAGTGTTGTAACTCTACTTGTCCAGGTCAATACCGTGCGAAGGCATGCGGCCAGGGTCACTCTTGCAATAGTATTATAGACTTGGTTAAGTGCTATTAGTGCCTAGGCAAGCATGACTAACACAATGTCTGTGTGAAACAGAGCCAGAGAGTCAAAGCTGAATGAAATGCTTCCAGCGGGTCACTGCCGTAACAGGAATCAACTGCCAGGGTCACGGATGGTATTCTTAATTTTTGGTTACCGAATGTTTCTTTACAGTAAAAGTCGCCTCGTGTCTTTGTGTGTTTAAAAGTCATAGCCTCATTTACCAAACATTAGCACCGACGCTGGTTTATCTCCACGTGTAAAGCAACATCCTTTTCGCACATGGAAACCACAGTAATGTACTTTGCCTCAGGATACAATATTTTAAAGAGGTCATGACCACAGATGAGGATATATTATATTGGAACATAGATAGACGGGTTAATTGCTTTCAGGCTCAGCTTCCACTTCACCACAACAGTCCAGTTAAAAGTTTGCTGCTGCTACACCAATCCAGATAAATCTGACTACTGCAGAGACCTCAACCTAAAGCTGCTTTTCCCCTAAATAGTACGACTCGACTCGCTCTTTTTTTGGTTTTCCATTGTGGAAGCAACAACCACCACAGTCGAGGCTCTAAGTGAGCTGAGCTGACTCAAAAAGCTGACATGAAAACACTGCAGACCACTGACTGGTCACTCCATATGAAGAGCAACATGGGGCATCCCACACAAACCCTGCATTTTTAAATAGCAATGCTACTGTCAATAGCGACCACAATTGTTTTATTCCCTTAAAAAAAGGCAGCCCGCAAAACCACACCATGGTCAAATATCCTCTATTGTAAAAGTGAGTGAGTTTTGTGAGTAGGGCGAGAGCGGTGAATGCGAGCGGTGCAGAGGAAAAGAGAGCAGTGAAGTTATCAATCTGGAAGTAAATGTACAATGTAGGTTAGTTTGTCAGTGAATAAAGACCGCAGCCTCTGAAGACCGAAGTAAAGCTCCCGTGTGTGGTTGTTTCCAAACTGCTTGAATAGCGTCGCTTCGATGATCAGTTAATGTACTATCTACAGTGGAAAATGAAGTAGAGGCACCTAAAGTGAGTAGAGTAGTCAAGTCGAGGTGTACCATGTAGTGGAAATACAGCTTTAGAGACAGCCTTTACTGCTCGACGTCCTGTCGCTCTCTCCCCTCTTTTATTAGAACCAAAAGATACACAAGTCTGCTGCAAGTCTGACAGGCTTAGGAGTTTCTCAAAGTGATCCTTCTACCACCTGACAAATATCCCTGTTCAAAGTCAGTAGTTCTCCTCCCTTGCTGAGAGTTGAGAGCTGATAACCAGCAGTTAGTCCACCAAGGCCCCTGCATTTGCCTACTACCCAAGTGGCACTGGTAACACATAACAACCCTACACTTCACCTCGGGGGCACATAAGATCGTGGCTCCATGTTAACTGTGTTGGGTGACCGGGTCTGACAGATTATAGCTCACTCACTCATCTGGTCTGGTTTTAGAAGGGGCTCGACCTGTTTTCCTAACCAATGTGAGCTTACTAAAGAAGCTGATTCATAAAGGCCTTTGAATCACTCTTTGTTAGGCCTTTGGCCAGTCAGTGATTTTTTTTATGTAATACATTTTTATATCATAATTAATTTTCTTCCTCCTACCATTTATCTATTCAGAGTGCAGTGTGGATTTGTATTAGTGCCTTGGCTATTCTAAATAGACAATAGTGTTCTGTGTAATAGCAAGGTCTCATTAAATTAGTCATTCAACAGGAGCGTGTGGGCTCTTTAAATTGTAGCATATGGTACATTTTTATCTGAATATACATACCGCTCTTTAAGGTCCCACAGATCCTTATCATAATCCTGATTACAGCTGTGTGGCAAAACTAGGCCTTTTGAAATACAGCTTATCTGGTATAAATTAAAGGTCAGGAATAGGAGCAGATAACTAGAAATTAATATACACACACACACACACAGCCGCATAGAGATTCACAAACCTATTCCGCAAGTTCCTCTTTCATCTTACCTCAGTGCCCTGCTCAGCTTATCGTAGTTCATTTGGGGTTTACACTTCCTGGCCCCCCACAGCCGAGCCACTTCATCTGGGTCCTTGATCACAAACTCGCCGTAGTCCCCCTGCCAGGCGATGACGTCGTGATATTCTTCTTTCCTGAGCAGCTCCAGGATGAAGTGCCACAGCTGAATCTGCCTGGACCCGGGGCTCGACTCGGGCTTGTAAGCCCAGTCTGGGAAGGCGAACCCTGCGTTAGAGAGATAAAGAGAGAGGAGGGTTAGTGTGGGTCACTGGAGCACAACGAATAACCCTGAATGATGATGTGGAGAGCACAAACAAAAACAAAAATGTGTTGCACACAACACTGCATCTAATATCAACAGAGTGACATATAATTCAAATTAACCCTCTTGCTTAGAGATAGGATTACAATTAAGAGTCAGCAGCTGCAGCTGTTTCAGGTGAGTAGAGTCTTTTCTATGAGACAAGAGGATTATAGGTGTCTAGCCAAGTACAGATCACATATAACAGAGCAGCCTAGTCAAGCACAGTCTCCTCATTCATATTTCACATAGCACATAGCTTGTCTTCACTACTCACACGTCAATTCAATCTTTGAATTTTGTTTGTGGGTTATTTTCAAGCAATTTCTCTTTTACTTGAGAGTTTGACACAATGGAGAGCAAGGCCAGAACAACGTAAGGAGACGAGAAGAGAGAGAATAAGACAATAGATCTCACAAACAATGATGTGAGACGCACTGCAACATGCCTTAACCTGCTGAATCCTGACTTTAATTTTCAATTTCATCCCATTGCCAACGGTACTTCAACAAACAGGTAACATTTTTACATGCATCTATTTCTCTTTGTTTTAGCCCTTTGTCCAGAACAAAACAGCGTTTCTCTCTCCCCCAAAACTGGCACACAATGTGTATACAGTATATAAATCTTAAATACCAGGCTTGGTGTTTGAGTGTGTACGGGGGAAACTGAGCTTTTCCAAATGATGACATAAGCCAGCCCAGTAAGGGTCGGGCGATGTGCGCCGGTGAAGTTAAACAGACAACCTTTAGTCATCGTTCATTTTCTCTGATCGTATATTTTAAATGACAATTAGCATATCAGCTGTCATTAACTTGGATTCGTGCTGATTTTGACAGATGACGTGTGGCTGATAAAATAATAATGATCTTATCCCTGGAGCACAGCAGCTTGAGAGTTACTGCTGGTTAATGGTAGTAGTTATGGGCTGTGACTAAATAACTATTTCATACTCATGTGGTTGTTAGAAACAGAACAATATGTAAATGAACTATACTATAAATTCGGCTGTCTTAAAGCTGAGGAGGAGACTGCACAGAGGTGGTAACCGACTGTGTGTGTGGCAGCGACTTTCTGTCGTCTAACGTTTTCTGTGATCACGCATTTTTAAATGTCATTATAGGTGATTATAAACCACAGCTGTTGTAATTAACCAGTATTTATGCTGATTTTGTCACACATCGGATTCATAACATAATGATTTGGTGGGCCAGGCGGTCTGTCCCACTCCTCACCAGATGTTGGCTCTGATGCAGTTCTGTTTTTTGTCTTAATGAAAAGAGGGCCAAGAAGAATATTTGGCTATTTTTTAATGTTGTTGAGGTGTTTCACTGTCTCTCTATTAAAACCTAAAAATTCTAGTGTGGACGCAAATTGTTTTTTTTTTAAAAAAAGGCATTTTAAAATCTAGACGGGTTAAAGCAGCTGTAGACTAAAGCTTCTGTATAAACCACATTCCTCTTCTGTCATCAGGTCACCACATCACCACAGTAGTTCACAGGAAACACACACACAGACACACACAACCACACACAGAACACACACACACACACACAGACACACACACACACACACACACACACACAGAAACTGCACTACTGAAAGTTGTAGTGTTAGTGGGCTTCATGGAACAGTTAGGCACATGAAAAACCTTTCCACCTCTCCTCCACCTCTTTCCTCTCATGCAGTCACTCTTTCCTATGACCGGAGGAAAACAACATGGCCAGTCATCTCTCCTGTCTATCCCTCCATCTCTCTCCACCCTCTGTTCGAAGGAAACGCAGAGTAAGAGAAACAGATCGAGACTGTGGGCGTGGGTATATGACTGTTTGTATGAGCATGTGTGAGCCCAAATGTACAAGTTTGAAAGAGTTTACGTGCCAGTGCGTGTGTTTGAAAATGTTTGTGCAAGTCTCCCACTAACATTCTGTTGCCTGGGTGGTCAAGAAGATTTGACACGACCGAGGAAAATAGACTATTACAGTGTAATATTTAGCCAGATATAGCTTGGACTGGATTTTATTTAATCAACAATCATCCTCATAACACTGATAAACAAGTGAGGAGGTGGAGTCACCAAAGAGTCATTGTACAGTATCAGTCCGGCTGTTGTTATGTTTGGTGCAATGTTAAGCATCACATTACACTGAATATCCAGAAAGAAATTATCTGTCTGATGTATTACAATGCAAGACAATATAGCCCTTCAACTAATGCTGCTGTACAGATTTAGTTGTGCCTGTTTTTTTAATTGTGTGTATGTTAACTCCATTTACGCTATGTTCAAAGGCCATGATGATGCATTATTGGACTACATTTAAGGGTTATTAGAAACACCCTAATATAACGCAGTCCAATAAAACAACAATCTACACCCTGAAAAATAAGAGTTAAATCAATATCTGTCTGACACTGTCGAAACTGATTATACATTGTAAGTTTTAGAAGACTAGTATTTATTACAGGGCTATTACTTTATTACTTTGTCTTTTTCTAATCACGTGGTTTATTTTATTATTACCTCTTACTTTGGGAGGACATGGAAAGATATCTCTTACATACACTATACTAAGCATAGAGGTGCAGTTAGGAGCAGTACAGTCACTACACAGGATACTAGCCAGCTTGTAATGTTGAGTTTTTTTTTTTTTTTAAATAGTTGTTTATTTTATATACTTTGAATTACTTCGTTTTTATCTTTTTTTTCTATTCATCTTCTGTAGTTCTGTCGTCGTGCTGCAGCAACACATACATTTCCCCTCTAGGGAACAATAAAAGATCATCTTGACTCAACTTACATAAGGCCGCATGAATCCGGTGTTTGCACTGCGTTTAACCACACCGCATGCAAATGGAAACAGAGGAAATGGGACAGGCTGGTCTGGAGATTGGGAAACAAATCATCAGATTATGGATGTGCAGGCCTGTCAATGGATTTGCTGGATGACACCCTGAGGCAGAGATAGATAGCCCTGATAATCTCTGCTGCTCTCGTCTGTTCTGACCATTTAGTCACTGTTGCATAACACTAAATAATGTTGATAGCACGTCTGCCAGACATCTATGAATTTGTACGCAAGTGTTGCTACAGGAGCCTTTCATCAACATGAATTTATACTTTGTTTTTGCTTTTTATGCTATGTAAGAGACCCGCGGGACTTTTACACATTTGGGCCCTTTTCGGTTTACAGTTTTGTGTTAAAAATAGGCTGAAAGGAAAGTTACCTTCCTATGTGTCTTCTTACTCATCAAACGTAGGCTACTATCTATTTCTCACCACCACTTGTTGGTGATTTTCTTCCTATCACAGTGATGTATTTGCGGGGCATGGTCAATGAATCACTCAGTTGTCCCACCTACTCAGGAGTCACTTTGCAGTTGAAAATTTAAATTTCTGAATATGAAATGATGTACAAGATGCCTACACATTTTCCATCTCCAAATTCCAGACAGGATTTTATCACTGTTGAATATTATGTAGATAGTAGGTGGCTAATGAGGCAGTCAACAAACACGCTGTGCAGGCAGCTTAGCCGCTTTGTTCAAACTACAGATTATTGTTCTTTACAACAAACACAATGTGTGAAATGACCATGGGTGTTAAAACTGCCTAAACAGTGCCGTCTGTGTGTGTGTAACTTTCCAGACCTGCACATGTAGGTAGAAGTTGGCATGCAAATGATACACTGTCATTTTATTTCCCATTTATCTCCCCACCCTCCTCCTCTTTTCACTTTCAAACACTCAAACAAACAGTTATGGCATGATCAAACGCTGAGTGAACTACAATCACAGAGGAACACACCGGGGGCAATAACAAACATACTGGCCATGCCAAGCACATAACACATAACCACCTACACACACACACACACACACACACACACACACTCCTACTACACAGGACAACACATTCTTTCCAGACATAAGAGACTGACTGTGATTGTGTCAAGGCAAGTGATGCGCGTGTCGTGTCAAGTCCAAAGGAGGCTGAGATGAATAAACAAGAAGCGTCGACCATATCGTGACCACTGATTCTGCCGTGTTGTTGTTGTTGTTCTGGCAGCTGCTCCACTGAAGCTGCTCAGTGGCTAACAGTAGAAGATTTGTACTGAAAGTTTTACCAGGTGTGTGTAACTGTCTGCATGTTAAGCAGGAGTTGCAAGCAAAGCTCATCAAACAGACTCAAGATAAATATTAAATGAAAAAAAAAACATCTCACCTTTTAAGTTACTTTTCCAGAGTTTGTGCGAATGTGAGTCAGTGACTTTGTGCGCATATGTATGTTTGTCAAGATGCGTCTGTAATGATCTTTTTGACTTTGGCATGGACCACAGAGGTCACTACACACACACACACACA